TTGACTACAATTCCCACATGGGTGGTGTTGACCTTTGTGATAATGTAATGCTTTGTGATAGTATAATGTGTATCCAAGTATGAGGAAGTGTATCAAATAGTAGAAGAAAGTTTTCTTTCACACATTAGATATTGCACTGTGTAATTAATTCACTGGTAGTGTACAAAGCTTGTGGGAAGAACATGTGAATATTGGATTTTCGAGTTAGTGTAACATGATCACTAATTGAAAAGTACCATGTAGGTCATGCGCGATTCAGTAGTGGCCATCCTTCCCATGAAAACCCACTACATTTACAAGAACGACATTTTCCTGCATATATTCCAGCTATAGAAAAGAAACAGAGCCTCACTAGAATGTGCAGAGTATGTTCTACAAACGGCCTAAGAAAAGGCAGTCGTTACCAGTGCCAGCAATATGATGTAGCACTCTGTGTTGTGCCATCTTTCGAAGTGTTTCACACAAGGGCTAACTTTTGAATTTTTAAAATTTTTTCTATCGTGTGTTTCATGATTATTTTTGGTGTGTTGAATAAGTAGCATGTTTCCTTCATGGAAATCTTGTTTTTATCATTTAAAACGTGATAGTTTATGAGAAACATATTTTTACCCCTAAGCCATGACGCATGTTTGGCTTAACTCAGAAAAACTCGGCTCAGCACAGTTAACGCTCCGAGTTAAAACATGGCACTGAATAGGTTAACTCTTATTAGAGTTAAGATATTTTTTAGAAATACTATGAGCAAGAACAGACTAAGCACTCTAGCCATGCTCTCAACTGAAAACAGCATACCTAAATTCAATGAAAACAGTACTGATTTGTTTGCCTCAAAAAACGATAGATGAGTGTATTTAATTTACAAAAATTGCACTTGACTATTTTGTAATCCACATTCAAAGATATGTTGTAAGTAATATTACGGATTTATTACTTTCCATTTTATGAAGTAAAATGCTACAATTTTTTATTTACCAGAACCTGTTTTCTTTTAGTTGCATTTTTTTCCTTTAGCTTGTAAAACTCAAATGTATTTTACCTTGTAAGTTATGTCATATATGTATATTTAATTTTCGAAATTTGTTTTGTGAACCCCCACTTAAATAATCTAAGAGCCACCACTGCCTGACATAACAGACTTTGAATGTTTTATGATTCATTGATCCACTAGTTGGAATAAGGAAGTGCTGTTCAATTGGTGGAATAAAATCTCTGCAATTGGATGCAATGTTGTGAGGGTATCAGTACCACATCCTGAAGTATTTTCGAGAATTAGAACTCAGATCAGGTTTTCCTGCTCTAATACTCAAATTCTTTACAGAATGAATTTTCAATAATTATTAAAGAAGACTGTTGCAGTGCAGCCGACGCTCTGTGGCATAGGTAGTTGAAATTCTCACGCTGGAAAAATTAAATGGAGACAATTAAAATAATGCACATACTCAAAATTGCATTCCATAAGTCCATTTTTGGCAAGGGCTAACTGTGTTGCAAACAGCACACTGGGCTACCAGTATAATACGAGTCATGGTTGTGCACAGTTTGGCAGTTTAATTATGTCACATGAGGCATATGTTTAAGCAGTGCAGAAGGTATAGTAGTATAAGAAGCATAAGAGGTATGGTAGTGTATGGAGTGTACAAGGTAGGTGTTTAAGTAGCTACTTTGTTGGGACAATTGGATTACATTCATATATAAACTAAACCTGACTTCTAGTGTTCTAGAATATTTATTTCTTATCCACTTGTCTACTGATGTGTTTATGAAATACTTTTTCAAAAATTTTATGTGTAATTGCAATATAATTCTATAGAATTGTCAATGTTCTTTTTATATGCCTTTTATAAAAATACATACTACAACTTTTTTGTGTAGGGAGGTAGTCTTCATAAAGCATTTTTTGCTTTCTTTTTGCTTTTTATTTCTAAAATTTGATATTTTTTAAAGAAAATACAACAAACACAAGAAAAAAAAAAAAAAATCTATACAATATGAAAAGAAATTCAAAAATTTACTACCTTTCTAGTTATTAGTTAAGGCCCGTTTCCACTACTGCGTATGCGTTGCGGTGCGTATGCGTTTCTCCAATCAGCGAGCGAATTCACTTTGATTGACATCTGCAATCCGGTCGGTGTACGGTGACGGATGACATACGGATGGAGTTCAAAACAATGTTCAACTTTTATCCGTATGTCTGCGGTTGCGTTGGGGTCACGTGGTGAAAAAGGAGCAATCAGGTGCAGTGACTAAAAATTAATGGCGGCAGAAGTAGCGATGAACGCTCGCTAATAGGGAAAGAATGTTTTGCTAAAAAATACTTATTTCTGAATTAACATTATAGCGAGAAATCTGCGTGCTGAAAATGACAGCAATCAGCTGAATTTAGTTTAAAATGATAAGAAAAACAAGATAACTGCAACTACAGTACTTGTTCATTCAAGAAAATCAGCGGCAAAAATTATCATTCCAAGTCCATGAAATAGCAAAATTTGTTCTGATAATCATTTTTTAGTTCTGCATACTCATTTAGCTTTAATGAAAATGAATGTCTGACTATATCAAACTGCTATAGCAAATTAGATATGATTAAAAGATTTGCTATTTTTTTCTTTTGAAACAGGTAAAAACTAAAAACGTTAATTATAAATTAAATTTGATAGCCTTTTAAATACTCCAGTTCATTGAAGAGTATGTTAAATTTGTATTTCCCTTTATAAATATATCTTTTTGGATAACATATATTTGTAAGCACATGTTATATTTTTAGCAGCCCGTTTAACTTCAATTGGAACGCCACTTTAAAAGATAATGATTTTTCCAAAAAATGTACTAGAAGCTGAAGAACAAACTCTGGTGAATTTTTCAGACAATAGCAAAGTGAAATAGGACCAAAAAACTTAAGTTTTAAGAATTGATTTACTTGATGATGTATATAACCCAAAATATGCATGCGACTTACGTGTAATCCTAGCTTAGTGGTAAAGCTGATGGTAACGATGTCCACCTTTTTGGAGTCATGAGTTCGAATCCCATACGCTTTTTGCACCATGTCTGCAACTTTCTTACCTTTTTATTCCAATTTGATCTATATTCGTGTTTTATAATTTATTTCTATTATTATATGCATTAAATATATTGTTTTATTTATGCTCTTATTTATTTAAATTTTTCCCGCAAAAAAGTTTGAAAATTATATAATACTAATTTAAAGCATATCCTATACATATATATTTGAATTTAACAAACATTCTCTATTCGTAAAAAGCAAATTTAAAGTTAATTAAATTTAAATGAAATTTAATGCAAACAAAGAAATGATTAATTATTGCTGTGCAAGTATCAAAATCCATGAATAATATATAATTCCAAAAATTTATTAATCCTTAAAAAATTTATAAAAATGCATAAGTGAATAATGGGATAGATTATTAATCCTAAAAAAATTATAAAAATGCATAAGTGAATAATAGGATAGATTATTAATCCTAAAAAAATTATAAAAATGCGTAAGTGAATAATAGGATAGCTTATTAATCCTAAAAAAATTATAAAAATGCATAAATGAATAAAATGATAGATTTAATCCTAAAAAACTTATAAAAATGCATAACTGAATAATAGGATAAATAAATTTTTGGAATTATATATTTATTCATGGATTTTGATACTTGCACTTGATTTACATATGCTCTCAGAATTTAAATGATATTGTATATTAGTTCGCAGCAATAATTAATCCTTTATTTGTTTGCATTAAATTTCATTTAAATTTAATTAACTTTTAATTTTTACGAATAGAAAATGTTTGTTAAATTCAAATTTCATTCCTTGCAGCAATGGTGCAAGAGAATTATTTAAATTTAATTTATTTGAAACCCTGCATATATATATATATATATATTTTTCGTTTCACTTTTATGTGAATGTATATACATGTGCTCAGACTTTGGGATGTTTACGACTCTAAACTTTCATTCCAATTAACATGAGACAGTATTAATGCCCTAAACATTTTTTTAACAAAAAAATTACTATAATAATTGCTTTTAAATTCAGTCCTCTCCTGCAGAAGCGCAGGAATTAATTAATTAAATATTTCCATTTTCTTTACCTTAATGTAATTAAATATTTCCATATGTATATGTAAAGAGAAAAATCTTATTTTTATAACTTCTTGTATAAAAAGAGATATGAATAAAAAATGTTTAAATTAAAAATAATATTTTATGGATTATGTATAAAATATAACTGCCCATAGTGCATTTTAAAACTAAACGAGATTTCTAATAAATTATCCAGCTATGACCCTGAAGAAATCGATGCTAAAATTTTATATATTATTACCTGCTTTCTGACCAAATTTGGGCATATTTTAAAGGTATACATCTCCCATGCAACCAGCGGTATACAAGCATAGCAAATTTTGCTTAAATATTGTGAACCTTTCCTTACAGTTGCTCTGTACTTTTAAAGTACCAACTATTTTTTAATCCCTTTAACTTTTTTATTTTATGTTATTTATTTGTTTACTTTTTCACTAACAGTACATTTTAGTTTTAATAATATATATATTATTTCATAATATTTAAGGCTTCTAGAAACACAATTTTTTTTTTTTTTTAAATTTAGTTCAGCTTCTATGGAATTCGTGATGTTCATAATATGCATTATAACCTTACTTATCTAAAATTCCATATCAAATCCAAAACAAACAATACTTGCTTAAGCACGGAAAATTCAGATCGTAACTTGCGAACTGCTTGCGCCAAAATATTACAGTGACACCTAGTGGCGGAAAATGAAAATATTTTACGCATACGCAGCAGTGGAAACGCTTGTACGGATGCCGTAGGCGTGTCTTCAATTGACGCAACGCGTTCGTACGCAGTAGTGGAAACGAGCCTTTATACTTAAGTACATATGTCATAAGTACTACTACTGGTAGCATTTTGAATAGCTTATTAAGATAGCAATAATGTTTAAAAATTTCTGATGAAACTCACTTGAATTTGAATTGTTCACCCAAATCATCTGCATCTCTTGGACTTATTTCAAAGATTCCAGAAAATGGAAAAGGGTGACCACCATATGCAAATTCTACAATAAAAATGATATAACTCATGTAAGCCATAGTAACAACTTCAAAGTATTTAGATAATGTAAGATGAACAAAATGCCAAATGACCATAAAAAATGGGGCTACTCAACATTTATGCTAATATAAGCTCTTTTTTATTCTATTGACACAATGGTAAACCACTGCCCAATATAAAACTATTAACCTACTAATATAATAGAAAACAGCTTTTCATGGATAGTCGGACAGTTCCAGAATAAGATATTAAAATTGCTACATTCTTTACTTCCTTAAGCAGTGATTCAGAACATGCATTTGCAAAAACAGTTTCTTAAAACAACGCAAGAAATTGTATGAAATCAGTTTCAACACTGCTCATGGGAGGGTTACTACAAAATAAAATATATCTTTTTATGTATTTATCTATGTAGAATTATATAAATAGTCATTTGTTTTAATTACTGAGCATAATACACAAAACAAAATTTTATGAAAAAATGGGCAGGTCTTGCACAAGAGAATCAGCATAACTACTTGCTGATGGCTGTGGGGTGCTTTAATACAATTAATGTTCCTTACACAAGGTAACTAGTCTTTAATATAATAACTAAGTAATTTAGTATGACAAAAATTTTGAATTTAGTTTTCATGGCCAAATTAGTCTTTAGATTATGTCCTTGAAATAAAAACTAAATACACAAAAATTAAAAGTTCAAGTTGAGACAAATAACTGTTATACCCAGGTTATGTCTTGGAAATTTAGTAAACAGAATTTAGCATTATCTTATAATAATAATTTAATTGTGTATGTATGCCCATATAAGTAGTAGCACTTCATGCTGAAACTGCAGTTAAAGGATTATGAACTGGCAGGGGGGAAAAATGCTACTCAGTCAGGACAACAGTAGGCCTTTGCTATTGCTGCTTGTATCCCCTCTAAGGAGAGACTACAAGGAGTAATAAAAATAGTGTAAAAACTCGGGTCAGGTTGCAGCAGAATAAAGTGTTATCTTTGTAAAATCTGGTATGGTATCCAGATCATACAATATTGGGTAGAGTTTCTGTTTTCTCATCTCTAGGCTTTGGGGATGTACACAACAAATTTTCAAAGGATGGTTGGTTTTGGTTTATTTAATTATGGCAAAGCACACTAGTTGTTGGGTTCTAAGGAAACTTTCTAAGGAAAACTGACTCGTATACATGTTACACATGGGGAAAACCATGAAAACGCCCATGCAGCCAGCTCGTTCGCGGGATTCGAACCTTGGACGACCGAACTACCAGTGTTCAGCGACTTTACCGCTCGGCCGCTGATAGGCCAATTTTGAAAGGAAAAGAAGAAAAGAAATGGCAATAAAGGAAAGGAGCTAAACTGGAAGAAAATCGAAATCGCGATTAATTTGCCACAATTATGGTTTTAAAAGTCTTTATCACATTAAAAGGTCACAACTGGATTATAAATAGTTACAAAAGTTTGCAGAAATCTTAATGAATAATTCTGGGAGAAAAATTAATTTATTTTGAATAGCAACAGGTATTCTACCATTTCTAAGAACTTAAATTCACTTTCTGGAATAAAGCTCTGAGCCTGGTAGAATGGATGATTTCCGATTCCTTTTTAATATGGGAAATTGGTTTATATATTTTAAAAGTAACTTTGTTTCATGTATTAGGATATTGAAATTCTTCATACATGACTAAATCACCAGGTTTATAATTACTTGCTTTATAATGGGTGTCACATCTATTTTTGTTTACATTCATCAAACCTTCATATATCATCAGACTTTTTCTGAGCAACTTTTCTAGCTTCTTCAACAGGTAGATACAAACCTTGCTTTTCAATTAAAGGATTTCTGCACATAAAATAAAATTTTGTAACAGAATATGATATATTATTGTATTCTCCAGTAACTCAGGGTTCATGAAAGAAGATAACCTTGATAAGAATTTAATTTACATTTTAATCTAGTGATAAGAGTTTGATTAACTCTGCCTATTTTAACATTATCTTGTGGTCTATTAGCAGTAGCTAATAATTTGTTTCTCAAAAAGTGCTTAAATTCTGAAGAAGCAGCATTTCTATCACTTAAAATTTTCATTGGGATTTGAATTTGAAAAATTTATTTTAAACAGTTTATGTAAGTATCAATAGTTACATTCTTAAAAGCAAAAGTCCATATATAACATATAGATGATCTATAATTATGTGAATGTACTTTTTAGTAGAGTTATAACAATTTAAAACCACGTACAGTATCAATAGAAAACACCTCAAGAGGTTTACATACAGATGATAATACTTGCATGAAACTAAATTTCTTTTTACTTTTCTTATTAAGCTAACATATTTCAAAATGCTTACAATAATTCCTAATATCTTTCACTATTCCTGCCCAAAAATGCTTAGGAAACAACAGATTTAACATTGAGGAGATGCCAGCGTGCCCAAATTCAACATGAGCTTTTTCAAGTAAATTAGTACGAAGAGATATAGGTATTATAATTTTGTACAAATTTTGCTTCTTTATAGTTAATACATCATTAATTTTCTTACACTTAAGAGTTACAATCATTACCTAAATTCTGATGATCTTTAATTTCTTTTAATGATAATAAGTTATTATTATCATTAAAAGAACTTCTTCAGTTCTAGTATTAGTTTCTTATAGGATATTTTAAAGTTCTGTATTAGGTACCCATTTGCGAACATTATACATAAATGTTGGCAAATGGGATTTCTAGTTAATATACCAGCTTCAGCATTAGTAGAATCCTTTTCATATTTTACATCAGAAACATATATAGGTCATTTTAATGGCCATCAAAATAGTCTACCTGTAGGATATTTTATAAAATTAAGCCAAACTAGAGCATTATTTACAGTAAAAGGCTTACTATGTAAATAGTTATAAAATTTATCAACAGTTGAACATTCCAACTCAGTAATTGCATAATTTCTTTCATAAGATCTTAATTTTCAAAAATGGTTAGGTATGGGATGTAAATTATCATCTGAGTGTTCTTGTTTTAGAATTGCACCAGCAGCTTTATTTAGATGAATCTCAAATACATGACAAGGATATTTTGGATTAAATAAAGTTAGTCTGGAAATTAAAGCATCTTTAAAATTTTAAAAGGCTGTTTGGCATTTACACATCTATTTATATGGAGTATCTATTTTGAGTAAATTCATTAGAGGGGTTCTAACTCTTGTGTAATTTGGTATAAATTTATGATATAAGCTAAAGTCACACTGGCAGCATAAAGGTAATAATTTGTCTATGTGTTTTTTAATTTGATTATTATCTTTAGGGGATGCTCTATATGGTTGATGAGTGCTAGGAAGTTCTGTGGTCAATATCACTCTTAGGAGTTCAATATTAATACTGTTAGGAAATGTCCAGCTGTGTTAAAGATAGCTTCCCCACAAAGTGTGTTTAGGGTTGCCAGATTTGGCATGAAATCAACCCCTTGACGACATTTTGCAACAAAATTAACGATATGCCATAGACAGAGTGAGAACATTCTGGAACAAATCCTTCCCGGTTTGCCCCAGAATGTTCTCGAAGGCAGGTCAAAAGCTGTATAAATTCTGCTTGTATGCAGAGTAGCAGTCTATCTTGAACGTCTCGAGCTCCGAGAGCGATCAATTGAGTCGGGAGCTGCATTTAGTGTTTAGTCATGAACTCGTCTTTCTCGTTATACCCCAATAGGCCGAAGGCTGTGTTGTTAATTATTTCAGCGTGTTTGCTGTAGTTTTTCGGTTACTGTAAACCTCTTTTTGGAACTGTCCTGAGTAATACTGGCTAAATAAATTGTGTTTTGATTCTTCGTCAAGTGTTGTCAATCACTCCAAATCCATGAGTCCACAGAATGCAACAACTAATGTCAGGAATCTGCAAATGAATGTAGTGACCCACCTGCAAGAGAAATCAATGGTGTAGGAAACACTTTTAGGGACTTCTTAGCAGCTGTAAAAGCCAGACCAAAAGAGATGAAAGCTGGACAATAAGAGCTGAAAGCTGCATATGAGGAGATGAAGGCTGCAATGAAAGCTTGATATAAAGAGATGAAGGTTGGACAAGAAGAGTTAGTGAATGAAATAAAATTGTGTCAAGAAGAAATAAAAGAAAAGCTGCAAAAGCAACTCCAATGGATGGAAGTGAAACAAAAGAATATTAGAAGCGAAACCGTAGAGATTAGACAGAAAATTGCAGCCAAAACAGAAAATGCGAAAACGACAGTAGTGGCATCTGAAAAATCAAAGGATGAAGAAATGAAGGAATTAGCTAATCAGCTGTCTGAGAAAGATCAGCAAATGAAGGATGGAACATCTAAGGAGATTAAAGAAAAAGAACGAAAAGATGAAGAAATGAAAAATGGAAAAGAAGCTTTTGATTCTCAAGTGCCTGAAGTTGAAACTGAAGAAAGTAATAATACTGTTTTGTAAAGATGTAGAAATAAAAAAAGTGGCTAGTTAAGAAAAGCATCCCAAAAAGGTGAAGAAATACTTCATGAAAATAAAGCTTTTGATTCTCAAGTGCCTTGAAGTAGAAGTGGAAGAAAGTGAAACTGTGACTGTTAAGTTTGTAGAAACTGATAGTGAAATTACAAGGTCACAGTTATCAAGTATCGATCTGAAAATTCATGTGATGAAGAGATGACAGAAGTCGATGTACAGCTTAAGCAGACTGTTCCAGTATTGCAGAAAAACACATCTACTTCACAAACTAAATGTGTGTCTCATAATACAAGTTGTACAGACACAAACTTGATTCTAAATCAGGATACTTCTGTTTGTAAAGAAACGGATTCTATTCAGAACTCTAATGCAAAATTTGGAACCGATTCCCAGAGAAAAATAAGCATATACCAACTGCTAAAAAATACTGTGGTGAACAGTACACATGATGCGAATAAACTATGGAGTTGTGAGCAAAATGGTTCAGATCTTCCTGTGGATGCAAAATCAGAAAGAGCTGAATCTTCAGACTGTAATATGCAAAACAGTCATCAA